GTGTTGTAAGATAAGAGGTTTAACTAGACCTTCACTATTGACCCGACCGAAAACCCGATCCAACCCGACCCGAATAATTTTTCGGGTATTTGGTTGACGTCGAACCCGAACGCGTCGGTTGTCTCCGATGGAAATCGGGTGCGTTCGGGTTGGGACCCCGTACATGGTGTTGCTGGCGTCACACCCAATAAACCCTGTTTAATTTTAAAAAAATTTTGAATTACACCGACCTTTCCCGACTGCTGCTGCCCCAGCCCGAGAATATCCCGCTGCCCCAGCCCGTTCCATTGCCGAAGCTGCTGCCGAACTGCTCGAGCCGCTGCCCCCCTGCGGCTTGCTTTGCCCAGCGCTCGTCGACCGCGTCACGTTCGCGGCATCTGCCGCTATCACTCGCGACCCGCGTCACGCCCGATCACTCGGCTGCCCGCCGGTTCACGCGTCCGTGCACTCACTGCCTCAGCCGCATAGTTCGCGCGGGTGTTTCCGGCAACCGGCGGACCGGAGATATTGATAGTATTGCCTATAGACTCATTGATACTATTGATTCTGCATTGTATTGACTTGCTACATTTGATTTATTAATAGGGTAGATTGAAGTTTATCGTATTGTTTTTCCGATTGATTTTATTGACTAGATAGCATAGATTTGATTTGATTTGATTGATTGATTCGACACGACTGATTTGACAAATTGATTGATTTTCTTCTGTGTACGGATTTCTTCGAGATTGACGTGGATTGATTGAGCTTGGTTTATTGATTTGCTTGCTGCTGCATTGACTGGCTTTATTGACTATTGAATTTTCGTACTGCATAGACTCATTGACCATTGACTGATTCAGATTGATAGATTGACATGCATATTGATAGCATCGCCGTGCTTTGATTTCAGTTGTAGGCTTTGGTGACCTGCTGGGCTTTGTAAGCTCATTATATGTGGTTAACAATTTCAGGTCCGAGCAAGGCAACTGGAATGGAGTTCGATCAGAATGTCAGACGAATCCTTTCACTATGGATGCCTGGGGCGTCACAATTGGTATCAGAGCAAGTGTAGTGAAAGGATTTGATTGATAGTTTGATAGAATGGATTGTTTCAAGTGTATCGTTTTGCATACATATTGAATGACATGTGATTGACTGGATTGTGTGATTTGTATGGATTCCGACGAGTTTTGATTTTGATTTTGATTCGATTTGATTTTGATTTGAGTTTTGATTGGACGGATTTGCTTTGTATCGATTTTGCATTCGATCCCTTAAGGGAAATGTCGAGGACGACATTTTTTTTTTAGGTGGGTAGATTGTAAAACCCTTCAAAAAGCTGATTTTTTTTTAGTGCAGTTCGTCTGTACGAACTGGATTTAGTACTGGACGAACTGAAGAAATTTGTGAAGAAATCTGCCATTTTCGTCTGTACGAACCTGGAGCAGTCGGGACGATCCGTCTGTACGAAATCTGTCCAGAGAGCAAGTCGCCCGGGACGAATTTGGATTTCGTCTGTACGAAATTTGTCCAGAGAACCCATCGTACCAGGACGAAATTTGGATCGTCCAGGACGATCAGTGTTAATAAATATCGGATTTTAGATATTTTGGATTCATTTTGGAGAGAGAGGAGAGGCAGGAGAGAGAAAGAGAAGGAAAGAGAAGAGGAAGCTTGGTTTTGGAGCCCGTGGAGCGCTTTTCGTCCGACGACGCTGTTAGAAGATTTGTTTGTCTCGCTGTAAGGACTCCGAACCCTATTTCTGTTTTCGAAGATTTTGTATTTTGATCGAGTTGTGCACTGTTTTGTGTTTTTGTAGTCGAACTTTTGACCTGATTTTGTATTGACACGACTTTCACCGCACAACTTTTAGTATGTTATAGATATGAATATTGTACACGATTTGACTATTTTCTACGATGATTTTATCGGTCGGAATTGATTCTACGCGATTTTAATTGAATAGAAAATTATCAGGACTTGATTTGATTTGGATTCTATAGATTGATAGTCTTGCATTGATGCCGTGGTTATTCTGTTGTAATTTGGAGAAATTCAGAATTTGTCTTTTTGCAGGATTTTTGTGTAAATTCGATAGACTACTGTTACTCTGCCCGATTTTTTTTGTATGATTCCTGATTTGACTGAAATTGATAGATTGAATCGATATGCCTATGATTATTGATATGATTGCTCTAATATTGATTATTGATTGCTTATTGATACTGAAACACGTATAACCTGGTTGAACATTGGTTGGAGATGATACCTGTACAGGATGGTGGGCCGACGGGCTTTCCTTTAAATCATAGATCATGGATCATGGATATAACGATGGGAGTCATAAGGAGATTATATGCCGACGGGCAATAGAGTGACGACTCTTTTCATAGAACCAATGTATTGATATCTACAACAGCAATATGAATTCTACAACAGCAACATGACCATTGATTATACATTGTTCAGTATTATCGTATTGATTGCATGTTTAATGTATTGATTTACGGATTTTACGGATTTGATCGGGTTTACTGTATCGTACGATTTCACTGATTTCATCTATTGACTACTGAACATTGATACTACTGAGCATTGATATGGACATTGATAGATATAGATACTGTATTGATAGCATGAACATGGACATCGTACTACTGCCTACTGTTTCTGTACCGTATTGACTGTCGTATAGATTCATTGTTCCGTATTGCTTTTCTCGACTGATTTCATTGATTTGACCGTATTGATTTGATTGACGGATATTGATTGATTGAATTGAAATGATTGATTTGCCTGCCGCTGCATTGACTGGTTTTATTGACTATTGATTTTCGGATTGCATCGACTACTGATTTGATTTCCACTGCATAGACTCATTGACCATTGACTGATTCAGATTGATAGACTGACATGCATATTGATAGCATCGCCGTGCTTTGATTTCAGTTATAGGTATTAGGTGACCTGCTGGGCTTTGTAAAGCTCATTATATGTGGTTGATATTTTCAGGTCCGAGCAAGGCAACTGGAATGGATTTATTGATCAAGACTGTCGACGAATCCTTTCACTATGGATGCCTGGGGCGTCACAGTTACTTCAACCTTTTTCACGAATATGCTCATTTTGTATCCTATCTCAATGAGTAAAATCACTCATCCACCTGAGTATCCTCATCTCTGCAATACTTAACTTAGTTTTAAGCTTCTCTTTTAATGGCCAACATTCGACGTGTTACTTCAACCTTTTTCACGAATATGCTCATTTTGTATCCTATCTCAATGAGTAAAATCACTCATCCACCTGAGTATCCTCATCTCTGCAATACTTAACTTAGTTTTAAGCTTCTCTTTTAATGGCCAACATTCGACGTCATAAAGCATTGCAGGTCTCACCATAATCTTATAAATTTTTTCCTTAAGTTTGAATGGGACTTTTCTATCACACATCAAGCCCAATGCATTTCTCTACTTCAACCATATCCAACTTGCATTATGTTGATAATATCCTCATCTATTTCACTATCACTCTGAACAATAAATTCAATATATCTAAAACATGTACCCTTATTAATAACTTGATCACCCAAAGTCACAATCCCCTCACTATATATATTACTATTAAAATTACACTCTATATATCCAATTTTAGATATGCTCAAGTGAAAATATTTAGACTCTAAACTTGACCTCCATAATTATAGTTTACCTTCAACTCCCTCTGTAGTCTTATCAAATAAAAATTATTATTTGATCAACTTAGTAATTTATTAGTTAATAATTAACTGTTATTATATTATACTAATTATGGTTTAATTAATCAAATTAAAACTGATATAGATTAAGTTAATATAATTAAATATCACCAACATATTAATCTTTAAATTCTGAAATTAATAATGGTTTATTAGCTAATTTGGAAACTTAAATTAGCTGATATTACTTGTTATTTAATTTTATTTAAGATAATTATCTGTATTTAATAATTTTAAATTTTTACTCATTAATAATTAATTGGGATACTAATATGTGGTAAGTATGATTTGATTAATCTAATAAGGGTTGATAAAAAGTTTTAAAATTAGGGATTTTATTTTATTAGTTTAGTATTTAATAACGCATAATTAATTAATGTATTAATATATAATAAATACAGTTTAATTTAATTTAATAATTAGCATATTTTAATTTAATCATAAATAATGATTATTAAATCTTATTTCAAGCTAATAAATTTAAATATCGGGATTTAATAAATCTAAACTTACAGGCTTTACTAAATCATGCTCGAGTTAAATCCTACTTGCAGTCTTCCCAAAAAAAAAATCCTACTTGCAAGTCAATCAAACCCTTTTTAATACTTCTAGCATTGCATGTTTCTAAATCTGATAGATCCGTTTTAAGATTATAGGAAAAAGAGTTCTGCCACTTTCCTCAAACAAATAGGAATCCCCTAAACAATCCTGCGGAATTTTTTTTATGAACACCAGCTTAAAAATAAGCAAAGACACGCTACGAACAAAAAAAATGTTGCAGTAATCCATTATGAAAACTACCAAACCCTCGCAACAAGCGAATTCAAATTTTCAGATCGCAAACAGTACTTTCCTGCAAATCCTCCCTCTCCCATAAACCGATAGCAAGAAAGAAACAAAAAACCGCTAAAACTCACTCGAACGATTGATCTAAAAACCGGCACATGTAAATTCGTCAGATCCGTTGGGAAATTCAAATTCAGCTAGTATTGCTCCACGGATCTACCCATTTGAATTTAAAAAAACTATAATATGAATTGCTAATCAGACCCCCTTCCATTATCTAATTAAAAGAGGCATTGAAATCATCCGACAGTCGTCATTCTACAGGATGCTTGAAAAAACATATAAACACATAAAACAAACGAAAAATTGATCTGAAATCCACAATTCGAACATCAAAATCAGCAGATCCGATTAGATCAAAGAAAATGAAAAGAATTAAAATAATAAAAACTGAAAAAATAATGGAAGTTTCTTTTACCTGTCAACGTGTTCCTCCACGATCTTCCGATTTTCTTTGTATCCGCTACTTCTTCAGCAGAATGCGAATTGCCAGGGCTGGACGGCAGTATATATATCAGTATATAAGGGTATTTCGGTCAAATCACTGCCCCAAAGCGGTGGAACCGCGCTGCTTTCGGTTAGCATTTAAGGATACGTTCTTGCTAATTAGCTTTCTAAGAAAATTAAATATAAATAAATATTTAGTTGAAACTTGAAACATCCATTTTCGTTATTTTTTCTATTTTAATAAAAGGGAAAAAAAAGCTTATGAACTATTTGGATTGCAACAATTTTTATAAAGATTGAAAAATTATTATAAATTTTTTATTTTAAAACTATTATAAATATTTTAAATATTTTTATTTGACAATATTTTTTTACAACTCAAATACCTAAGTAGATTTGGATGGAAAATTTAATTTTCAGCACAATTTTTTTTGGAAATTGACAAAAAAATAATAATAAAGAAAAATGTCATTATAATATAAAAAATAAAGCAATAGTAAAACAATCCAAATAATTTTTTCATTTTAGGAAAAATTATTCGGTTCGTACACCGAATGCCGTCAAAGACAAAAAAAAATGCACCACGTCACTCTTTTACTGTACCGCGGCTCGGTACCACAACATCCGAACGTAGAGCTGTTTCTAATGTCTGCAAAAAATAATTTCTATCATTTAGACAACTTTTTCATTGTTTTGATTTGAGATCGTAATCACAATATCTATTTGATCACTATTTTTTTTGCTATTTAAAAAGAAATTGTGCTAGAAAGCTATTTTCTACATCAACTATTTTAAAAAAAATATTTTATTTATAAAAACTTTATAACTAACTTTATAAAAAATTACAATCATTCAAAATCAACCATAAATATTTGGACACGTAATATTCCTTTTTCCCTTGCCACCGTCAATTCATTCTTGTGCTAGAATAAATTTGATGGAGAATTTTTCTAGTGGGGAAAAAGTACCTTGTTACGATTCTGATTCTCTTGGCAAGCTTGCAAATTGATTCTTGCATGAGATACTCAGTACTATTGGCATTTTTTGGGTGGAGTTCCTTTCTAGCTCATTCGGTTGCTTATTGAAATAAATATATTTTATGAATAATAATTTGTTAATTTACTTTTTAATAAAATATTTAAAATAATAATAGTTTGTTTACTTTGATTAGCAAGCCCCTTGTTATCAAGTATCACATGCCAAGCCAGTAACTGAACCAATGTGTGACGTCCGCTCTCACTGCACCCACCGACCCGATAGTTACATCCACTAGCAATTCATTATTGCTTAGTATCCTCTCTATTTATATAAACAAGCATTGTATCTTGTAATCCATATAACATATAAAATCCAAGTTTTGCTCATACTCTTCTCTTGTTGTACTACCTTTCTATCATATCTCATCTTCATGGTATCAAAGACACCAAAATATTAATAGTCCAGCTCTGCAAATTACATAAGCATAAAGCTTCTCATCCATGACAAATCAACAAGCCAATCCTTCAGTCTTGGCAGAAAATCAAGAAACTATACCTCCCTCTCTCAAGTTCCTCATATACAACCTCAAAACCATAGCTCATGTTCAACTCCAAGTGACAACTACCCCTTCTGGATACTTCAAATCTTCAAGATGTTCACTGCCAACAACTACGATGGCTTTCTAACTAGCTCCACACCTTATCCCCCAAAACACATTGTCTCTAGCACTGATGAGACCCAATAAAACTCATATTTCATCACATGGAACTTTATGGACCAAAATTTCTCCGTTTCCTTATTCTCCTCCATTCCACAAATCATTCTACCCATCATTTTAAATCTCAACGTGTGGCATGACATTTGGTCTACCCTAGACAAGCAACTCCAACCCACCAACAGATCACGAGTCATTCAACTAAAAAATGAGCAGCACAATATGTCCAAGAAAGACCACACCATAACCAAATACATCTCACACATAAAGTCTATTGTCGACAATATCACTGCAGTCGGATCGCAAGTGGATACTAATACATCATCCTCTACATCCTCAACAGGCTTCCATCTTGCTATCAATCGTTCAAGACATCCATTAGAATCCAACTAACTCCAATCAATCTGGATTATTTGTATTCTCTATTGTGTAGTGAAGAGATCAATCTCACCAACAAAGCTTCAAGACACACATCAACAGATTCTTCCAGCATTGTTCTTATTGTAGCAAGGAATCATCTTTCCCATTTCAACAAATTCCAACTATCACCAAACCAGACCATCTCAGTATCCCGACCCACTTTCCCCCCTAGCTACCACATCCAAAACACCTAACTACAAGACCCAACTAATTAGCTTCAAAGATCCCCTTCACCCCAACCATGTCTGCAAACTCAATAAAGCCATTTATGAACTCAAGCAAGTCCCGTGTCAATGATTACATACATTCTCAAACTTTTTAATCCATCACTACTGTCACATAAACCAATATGACCATTTATTTTCATCCTCTACACTCACAACATGTCCATTTTCCTTCTCTTATATGTCGATGACATTATCCTCATCTGCAGTAACCCCTAATTCCTATTTACTCTCATAAAGGATGTCCATAAAACCATCTCCCTCAAATACCTAGGCAGACCATCTATTTTTATTGGTATTCAAATCATCTCAACACTCCCCTCACTCCTCCTCCATCAATCCAACTATGCCTCATAATTTCTCAACAAATAAAGTCATTTATGAACTCAAGCAAGTCCCGCGTCAATGATTACATACATTCTCAAACTTTTTAATCCAGCACTACTGTCACATAAACCAATATGACCCTATATTGTTCATCCTTTACACTCACAACATGTCTATTTTCCTTCTCTTATATGTCGATGACATTATCCTCACCTGCAGTAACCCCTAATTCCTATTTACTCTCATAAAGGATGTCCATAAAACCATCTCCCTCAAATACCTAGGCAGACCATCTATTTTTATTGGTATTCAAATCATCTCAACACTCCCCTCACTCCTCCTCCATCAATCCAACTATGCCTCGTAATTTCTCAACAAATTTGGACTCACCGAATGCAAACTCATGTCAACACCCCTCTCTCTTAAACCACCCAAACAGCCATAAAGCACACAACCGTTCCACGACCCTGCATTAGAGTTGTATTTAATATATAATTTGCCTATTTGTCTTATCTATTCCTTTGAAATAGGGAGACTAGAGATCAAGAAGTCTAGCATAAATCCTGATGCTCACATTTGGAGTAAAATTTGGTGTAAATATAATTTATCAACTTAAAAAAGGATGATGTGCATTGATATTATTAGTGATAATAGATAGTGAAGTTAACATATGACAATGTAGCTAGGTGACAACTATCAAAAGATTGTTGGTCATAGAACTATAGTAGGGCAATGAAGGTCGAAGGATCTTGATCGGAGCAATAATAATGAACAAACTATACATGGGCGATGATATTTAGACCATAACAATAAAATAGTGATGATTGAGTGAAGTAGTCAAATATTAATAGTCATATGAAGATGGTTGCGAGATGGTAGTCATATGATATCAATTGAGAGATAGAGGTGGGGCAAAGATAATATTCGGCGGTGATAATGATGTTGAATGCTAAGTATAGTTTTAGAGTTGTTTATATATCCAAGCTCCCTCCTCACAAAAGTCATGGTACCCTTTTTGTTATGGAAAATAGGATTTCATTAATAGTACTTTAGTGAGGGCATTTGAGTCAACACATACAAATTTTAATAATACTAAATCACATAGCTCATATTGAATCGTTTGATCAGAGACCGCTTATTCGACATTTTAAATACTTTAATGGCCTCACAGTTGAGTGTTCTTATGCTTTTTAGATTCGTCTCGTCAGCCTGCTAATTTTGACTGTAACATGTAATATTCAGAGATCATACATCCTTCAATTAATTTCCAAGAGTTTCTAAATAATATTGCGGTGCTTAATTTCTGTGCACATTTAGACTCAAATCTTTACCCCTTTGTTGTCATTGAGCTTTTTCTCATCAAGACACTTAATTTGACTAGAAAATGTGATTAATCATTCTCCTTAAAAAGTTTTCATACCTCCAATATAATAATTGGATTATATTTTGTCTTTTCATTTGTCACTTTTTTTTTTATATTTTTCCTGCGACAAATTTCAATCTTAAGCGTAAATATTTTTGTTTAAACAAATATTTTAAAAAATAAAAGATTCAAATATCATTCTACAACTTTGCAGTGAAACAATATTGGATTATAGTTATAATATAATTGAATTTAACAAAATAATATTATTTTGTGAAATAAGAAGTTGAAGGAATATTGTACATGTTTTTAAAGGGATTTTTACATACATAACACTTCAAACTAGTGTAAATACATATTCAACACTTAAAGTTTTGTATTTACTTCTTCGCAAATCTTGGCTTTGGAGATGGAAATCATCGCAGACCAAGAGCTCTGAATCGACATCCTCTCATTCTGAGCAGTTTTATGAAGACCGGGTTCGTTTATTGATTCATGTATGACCTAATTCTTCCGTCATATGATATTATGAATTGGTCATATCGCCTAAGAATCTAAACTTCTTCTTCACTAATCTTGTTTTCTTATTTCAAAATAAGAGTTCTCATGATCTTTCACTTCTAAAAAAAAGCATATGATGTTCTTTACAAAGAGCATATCTCCTAAAAAAAAAAAACTCAATAGCAGCACAAAAAGGTAATCTCCTCAGAAAATATGCAGTTTTAGTTAGGAACCGGAATTTCAATCTGCTCGTCAAATGGGAGAGGACGACCGACTTGAGTCTTGAGATTCGCGAAAGGAAGAAGATAAGCGGTGTGGGACGTTCGCAAAATAGTCGACCGCTCGGTTGGGATGCCTTCGCACGGGCTGGAGAAAATGACTGTGGGATTCAAACATGAGAGAGGGAGCTGCTCCAGTAACAAGTAAGAGGAGAGGTGATTCCCGAGCTCTTTCGAGGTTTGGGTTTGACGGAGACAATGGAGTGCCATTTTTGATGAGGGTAAAGGTTTTTAAGTGGTAGAAAAGTAAATAGTAAAGTTTAGATATTAGATAAGTAAATATAGCAGTTTTAAGTGTTATGTATGTAAAAACCCCATTTTTAAAAGAAGTATTAAACTCAATTTATATTTATTAATTCCCCAAAAAAAAAATTATATTTATTTAATCTACGTGCATTATATTAAAATTTCTAAAATTTAAAAAATGGTTTCAATGAACACAACACGGTACCCACAATTGCACCAGAACCCGATGTATGCGACACGAGAAATCATTCACCATCGGTCCCTTTCGGCTTTCGCCGGTAGCTTTACGTGGTCTCGCTTTAATATGTATTTATCTTTAGGTTTTGGCTTGCTCGCTTGGAGAGAAGGAAGAAGGCACATGAACGGCAAGGGCTTCGTTGGGGTCAAGGGAAACCCTAGATTCAAGGGAGGTTGATCTGGAGAGAGCGTCTCTTATTGTGAACAACAAGTGATTCCTCTTTTAAGTCGCTCACCTTTTTCGGTAACTTAAAATTCACATTTTTTGTTAATCTTTTGATGAATCCTCAATTTGTGTTCTCGATGGAGGGAAACCTATCGGTAGATTTTCCCTGCAGATATATTATCTTTTAAATATTTTGCAGCATAAGTGGTTCATGGCTTTTTATACGTTCAAATTTATTTTCTTTGTTTTTTTTTAATGAAGAAAGTAATGCTTGGGAATTGGTTTATGTTACTGAAATGACCATGATGTAGAACCAAAATTAGATTCAGGTAATGTTAAATTTAATCAGGATGCATTGAGGGATCCTGAATCCTGATCCGTTATGTGAAACTTGATTGATGTTAATTTAAAATCAAATATTTGATTAAGAAATATAATTTAAATCACATGAAAATCATGCTTGAATGTAAAAATACAATTAAGTGAAGAAGGAAAATTATGCGGAGCGATGCATGCAAATTTTGATGTTGTGCTTAGAGCAAATTAAATATCTAGTTTGGGATTTCTTAGCGCATCTTTCCTTCAAGAATAATATACTCTGGCCTCTAACCTATTTTCATTATAGTGCAAGTCTTATGAAAAATATTTTGTCCACCAAATGCTTAAAAGGCAAAATTTAAAAGAGAAAGAAGAGTGTCCAAAATTTAGTGAAGTTGTTAGAGGGAGAGTGCAAGGATGAGAGTTTGATGGACTCATCGTGAATTATTGAATAGTTTCCCTGAACTTAATTCCTCTATATATTAGACAAATAATTGAATCCCTTTATAATCATGCTAACTATAGGGAAATCAATCTCATGTGTATGAAGCTATGATAGCGAGTAATAGAACATATACTTAGAATAATTACATCAATTTTGGAGAACAAATTCAAGAGCATGGAAGCGATTTCATGTAAAACAATTATGAAGTCTAAATGTGAAAAGGTTCGATAGCTCTAGTGGCCTTCCAATGACCTGGTTAGAAGAGTAGATATATTAGATTCGACCCATGTTAATAAAGGTAGAGGTAGACTTAAAAAGACTTGGTTATAAAGTATTAGAAATGACATTTTTTATTAGATTTACAAGTGAATTTGATTCTTCATAGGACACAGTGGAGAAAAAAGATTCATTTAGTTGACCCCACATATTAGGATATAGGCTTGATGATGATAGACATATGCTTTTTATTGTTCTTGATAAGGTATATGATCAAGTACCATGATAATTGATTTGATGTGCTTTATGGAAAATATGTGCATGTCAAATATATAAAAGTTGATATGTTTTAATTTAAAATTGAATCTTTGATAAAGAAATATTATTAAATCACATGAAAATCAATTTCACATATAAACTAGAATTAAGTTAAGAAGGAAAAGCATGTTGTAGTGAGCATGCAAATTTGACATTGTCTTTCAATAAAATTTAATTTCTCGTGCAGGATTTGTTAAAAAATCTTGCCTCACAAAGTACGATACTCTATTGCCCACCCCATCTTCAAGATAACACAAACTTTGAAGTTATTTATAAACATTTTGCCCTCTGAATGCTCAAAAGATGAAATTTAAAAGATAAAAAAAGAGTTTCTAAAATATAGTAATAGCTAGAGGGAGAGTGTAATGAAGAGGTTTTAATGGACATATCATGAATTGTAGAATAGTTCTTAGGGACATAATTCTTATATAGATTGTGCTAACTATAGAGAAATCAAACTTATGTGTCATGCAATTAAGCTATGGAGCAAGCCATAAAACAAATACAACATCACAACATGAAGCCTTTGTCCAACTATGTGGGGTCGGCTATATGAATCCTTTTTCTCCATTATGTTTATTAAGAGTCAAATTCTCATTTAAATTTAATTTTAAAAAATGTCATTTATAATTTTTTTAGCCTAGTATTTTTTAGGTCTACCTCTACATTTCTTAACACAGGCCAAATCTAATGCATCTACTATCCTAACTGGATAATCGGAAGGGTAACATTTTATGTATTCAAGCCATCTAAGGCAACTCTTTCTAATATTCTCAGCCACTGGAGCTACTCCAACCCTTTCACGTACGTACTCGTTTTACATTCTATCTCTAAGAGTGTAGCCACTCATCCACCTGAGCACTCTCTTCTTTGTAACATTTAACATAACTTTATGCTTCCTTTTAATGGCCAACATTCTGCGCCACAAAGCATTGCAGGTCTCATGACCATCTTTTAAAATTTTTCTTTAAGTTTGAGGGGTACTTTTCTATCACACAATAGGGCCCGATGCATTCCTCCACTTAACCATCCAACTTGAATTCTAGTATTCTACTAATGATATCCCCATCTATTTCACTACAATAGAACCAAGATGTCTAAAACGAGTACTTCTATTAATGACATGATCACCCAAAGTCATAATCCCTCTACTAGATATATTACTACTAAAATTACATTCCATTTATTCTGTTTTAGATCCACTCCAACGAAAATCTTTAGAATCTATGGTTAATCTCCATAATTAAAGTTTTCTTTCACTCCCTCTCTAGTCTTATTAACAAGAAAAATATACAACAACAACAACAGCATTAAGCCTTTATCCCACTACGTGGGGTCGGTTACATGAATCATTTTTCTCCATTGTATCCTATTAAAATTCAAAATTCTCGTTTAAATATAATAAAGAAAAATCATTTCTAATATTTTCTAACCAAGACTTTCTAGGTCCGCCTCTACCTTTCTTAACATAAGTCAATCTAATACCTCTACTTTTCTAATCGGGTCATCGGAAGGCCACCGTTTTTTGTGACCAAACCATCTAAGGCGTCTCTCTCTAATCTTATCTTTTACTGACGCTACTCCAACCTTTTCACGTATATGCTCATTTCATATCCTATCTCTAAGGGTAAAGCCACTCATCCACCTGAGCATCCTCATCTCTGCCACACTTAACTTAGTATTATGCTTCTCTTTTAATGATCAACAAGAAAAATATCATCAACAAAAAACATACACAAGGGAACATTCTCTTGTAAATGTCTAGTAGGAACATCCATGACTAAAGCAAAAAATATATGAGCTTATAGCTGATCCTTAATGTAATCCAACTGAAAGAAGAAAGCACTTGGTCAAACCATCTTGTGTTTGAACACAAGTGACAGCTCCTATATACATATCTTTAATGACTTGAGTATAAATATTATTAACTCCTTTCTTTTCTAAAACTCTCCAGAGCACTTCTCTTAAAATTTTATTATATGCTTTTCTAAATCAATAAATATCATATGTATATCCTATTTATTCTCTCTATACTTTTATCAAACATTTCAATAAATGTATAGCTTCCATAAAAAACCTACCCAACATGAATCCAAATTAATTTTGAGAAATCTTAATATCACGTCATAACCTATGTTCAATAATTCTCTCCCATAGTTTTAGAGTATGTCTCATTAACTTAATTCCTCTATAATTCGTACACTCCTGTGCATCACCTTTATTCTTAAAAATAGGAATCAACACACTTTTTCTCCACTCATTCATTTTGAACAAATTTTTGGGTTTAAGCTATAGAACAAATGCTTAGAATAATTACATTCATTTTGAAGAATTTTTTTAGTGCCTAAAGTGAAAGATCTTTTATGGAAATAACTTTTGTGTTAAAACAATCAATGAAGTGTATAAGGTAAAGAAAAGATCTTTATTTGATTTGTATTGATCTTTAAAAAGCATATGATTGAGTACCATGAGAATTTATTGGACATTCTTTAATACAAAAAATGCGTGTGAAAGATACATTCATGTTCTTTAGGATATTTATAATGAAATATTGATTACTATTAGAAGTAGCTGTGGAGTATTCCCAAGAATTTTCAAATATCAGATGTTAATATTAAGGATTAACAGTGAGCCTATATCTTTTTGCATTAGTTACAAAGATGCTTGTAAAAGATATTCAAAGAAATATGACTTGACTTTGCAAATCTTGTTCTAAGTAGTGACACTTGCTAAAATAAGTAAAAATTTAGAATAATGAAGTTTATGATATTTACATTTAATGGGTAATTAAAGGAAATATTTAGTATTGCTGGAATATAAGGTGCTACCTAGGTATCATAGTATAGAATATGCTGGAATGACATATATTAAAAATAATGGGATTGAAAATAAACTTAGGTGGTTTGGACACATACAACATCATAATTATCATTAGCCTTATGGCCGTTATACCAACTATTTTGGGTCAGTGCTATAAATAGTCAATCTTCATTCATTCAAAATTATTCTTCACAAATAATTTCCAACTTCTATCCAAGTCATCTCTAAGTCTACCTTTTTTTCTTCATAATCCTTTGATGCTAAATTTATCAACCCGTTTAACAGGGTTGCTTTCTATCATGTTGTACATGTCCAAATTATATAATCTTGCCTTTTTTTACCGGTAATATTTCTTTCGTCTTATTCTTTTTTTTTTTTGCTCGTTGATATCATCAAGAAATCTAGTAGCAAAAATCTTGATTTTTTTCGCTTATGCTTTTTGAATGATGATTTATAGAGGACATATCTACTAGCAGGGGCCGCAGGGCGCTGACTGCCATCCCATAAACTCAAGCGGCTACATATCCCTCCTTTGAAGTAAAAATCATCTGCAAGGGCTGATTATAATGAATTTTCAGTAATTTATTTTTGAAGTTATTATGGAGGAAATGATTGCATATGTAGTGCTAAATATCACCTAGATATTTGATTTAAAACATTCTTCTGTAAGTTAATAAAGTTAATTCGCTAGCCTTACCACTGTATTAGGCAATAATGATTATAGTCTGAGAAGGATGGGACAAGGGTTCATTAAACGTTTGTGTACCATTATTTTTTATTAAATATTCTTAAGCTGTGATGGAATGCAAAACCTATTGTTCAAGTAAATTTAGAAATACGAGCATTTAACGTCTCTTATTTTGTTCTCTGGTAGCCTGTAATGAGCATTGAGTTGGAACTTTTTCACTTCTATGAATATTCTCTGATGGTCGTACTCATTGATTAGCTACGGTGTTTCCCTTCTGCTGCAGAGTCAAGCTTTAGCTTCAAGAATCTTCTAATACACTGTTGCCAAGAGAAATCATGGCAGGCTTTTCACGTCGTTTGATTGCCTGCTTGCAAACTGGAAAGCTTGCTTTTTTAGCACTTTTGGTAGCATCTGGAATTGTGTTGCAGGTTTTGGTTAGTATTCTCTACACTTCTAAATATTTCTACCGGCCTTACTTATTTTATGAAGCTAAACATTTACCTGTTCCTCTTTCACTCTCTTATATTTTCGTTATGATGTTGCAGGCTTGTGCTGTATATAATAACTGGTGGCCCATGCTAACAGGTAACAGTTACAGGGATCATAGTTTGATAATGATGGGAATATAATTGGTGAGCAAGATTTTAATGTTCAATTGATTTCACTGCAGCTGTAATGTATGTCATTCTTCCAATGCCTTTGCTATTCTTTGCTGGTTCTGATAGCTCGTCACTAATGTCCAGTGATTCAGATAGGTGAGTTAACTGCTTTAATTGTTAAGGATTTACATGAATGATCTACTTTTATACACTTAAAAACTCATATATGTGCTCTCATGACTTGCATATGTCCTCAGCCTTTACATTCCATCTGTCCAAATTGTTAACAGAATAAAATGATTTGTCCATTGATCATGCCTGCTATGTCTGCCACTTCCCTCTACTGCAAATTGTCACCATGCTTTCCTTGCCATCCATTTGATAGGATAATGATAGGAAGTGCTTGTGAAACTCAAGATAATACTTGGATGAAATTAAATTTCAGCAATCTCTAACACAAACCATAAGTAGAACACAAGAGGAATAGCAAGGGAAATATTGTAATAGATGAATTAGGGAAGAAAACAAATAAGATACAATGGATCTTCAATTGGAGATGAGGGTCAGACTCCCCCAATCTCTAGCCTGCGACTAGAGCTTAAACAAAAACCTAAGAACTATCCAAATTTCAGTAAATACAAGACATCCTAACCCTAGTATACCCCTCCTCCGAATTTTCTCTCCTAAATTGCATTAATTCCTTCATTCAAGCCACCTGGAAGAGGGGTGGAACTCACGTTGGCGGAACTCCTCCGATAAAACTGAGCCGGTTCAGGTTGGTCTGGCTGGACCGGTCCAGTGACTAGTCTAACAATATGTCCCTCCCAAAGACCCTCATTGTCATCAAGGTGGAATGATAGAAATTGATGCTTCACTCTCTCACACGGCTCCCATGCGGCGTCGTAGTCAGGTAGGGTCTTTCACTTTATTAGCACTTCCTTGAGCCCACATTCTCCTTGTCATAGCCCTTTTAACCCTAGGGGTTTCAACACGACTTCCAAGTCCTCAGTCTGTATCTTAGGTAGCTTTGAGCTAACAACATGATCTCCAATAGCTCTCCTCAACTGTGAATCATAGAACACTAGGTGTATGGTAACGGTCGGGGGTAACCTTAATCGGTAAGCCACAATTCCAATCCTCTCCGATATCTTGTAAGGGCCAAAGTATCTGGGTGCTAACTTTTCGCTTCTCCTAGTATCAACCGTTCTTTGTCTATAAGGACAAAGATTGATTAAGTTTAAAATTTATTAAATATTAACTAATTTATAAAAAAAAGGACGAAGCTTCAAATATATCTTATCCTCCATCTCAAACTGTATGTCCTTCATATGCCCATATGTCTGCTTCTTTATGATCTGCTAAGCCCTCGTCGAGTGCTTTTTTAATTCCTCCATCACCTTTTCTCTCTCCTTAAAGTACTGTTCCATTGAAAAAACAGACGTGCTACCCTGCCCAAAATGCACCATTGGGATGGTTCCCTTTCATACAACACTTTAAAAGGAGTCATCTTGGAAACCGAATGATACGAAGTGTTGTACCAATACTCTGCCCATGATAGCCACTTGGCCCACAACTGATGTGTCTCTGAAGCGAAACATTGCAAGCAAATCTCCAAGCACCTGTTAACCACCTCCGTCTGCTCATCTGTCTAAGGGTGGTAAGCGGTGCTTCTCTTCAATACTGTCCTCTGTAACATGAAGAATTCCCTCCGAAAGTGATTGAGGAACACCTTATCTCGGTTGGACACTATATACTTCGGTATCCCATGCAGTTTGATCACCTATCTGATGAGTGTCGCTTCCACTGTCACTATCGTGTAGGAATGCTATAGGGGAATGAAGTGGGCATATTTGCTCAACATGTCAACTATCACCAGAATCATTGTAAACCTCTCAGATCGAGGTAACCCTTCTATAAAGTCCATGTTGAACTCCTCCCATACCCTATCTGGTAGAGTTATGGGTTGAAGTAACCCCCTAGAGTCATGGTAATGTACTTGTTCCACTAACATACCTCACATCTAGCCACCATCTCTTTCACATAGAAGACATAGGATGGTTGAAGTGGAGGAATACATCGGATTTATTATGTGATAGAAAAGTACCACTCAAACTTAAGGGAAAATTATATAAGATGGTGGTTAGACCTGCAATGCTTTATTGCATAGAATGTTGATCATTAAAAGAGAAACATAATATTAAGTTAAGTGTTGCAGAGATGAGGATGCTCAGGAGTAGCTTTACTCTTAGAGATAGGAGCATATACATGAAAAGGTTGGAGTAACTCCAGTGGCAGATAAGATTAGAGAGAGAGTCGCCGTAGATGGTTTGGTCACATAAAACGACGGCCTTCCGATGACCCGAGTAGGATAGTAGATGTATTTGATTTGACCTATGTTAAGAAATGTAGAGGTAGACATAAAACAACTTGGTTAGAAAATATTAGAAATGGTCTTTCTTTATTATATTCTAAATGAGAATTTGACTATTAACATGATACAATGGAGAAAAAAAATTCATGTAGCCGACTCCAAGTAGTTGGATAAAGGCTTGTTGTTGTTATTGGTGTTGTTGTAATTTTTTTTAAATAAAGATGAACATATTTACTTTTTTTCCCTGGTAGAGGGCAACAATTTCTCATTCAGCTGTTGTAGTTAATCCCCATCTGCATAAATGTAAATCACAAAGTTCCATCCACTTGTTTAGACAAATTTTTGTTGTCATATTAGCTTCGTACCAAATTCTTTTTCTTCAGCTTAAAATAAAAATGATTGGCTAAACGAAATTGTTTCTTCCACATTTTCCATGTGCACAGCTGGGTGGATATCACTAAGTTTCTTACAGGTGCGTCTATAGTAGGAAGCATTGCCATTCCTTCCATATTAAAGCACGCAGGCATGATCTGCTTAGGAGCTCTGCTGATGGAGCTCTCTTCCTTCTTTGTCTTTGGCTTGGCCATTCTTTTGTTCCTTGTAATGAATCGAGAGGATGATTACAGTATATAGTGAGAATATGAAGGCGATGAGCGAGTGTGTAAGCTTGTTATTTGATTAATGATTGATCTGTACAGAGCTGCTGCCGCTTTCCTTTAGATTCTGTACATGCTGTGTATCTGCATGGATGTTACAGATACATATTTTTAATAATTACTTTTCTAATCTTTTTTTTTTCTTTTTTGCCCTGTTATTAGTGCCATTATATTTTGAGTGGGCATGCACACTATTAGAAATATTCAATAAAATCCATCATTTTTTTTTTTTGCCTTTATGAATTGGTTTTTGGTCAGCTTTTGTATTATGTATGATAACCATATTGGTTCAGGCAAAAGCAAATAAAATGCTTAGGTATAAAATACTCGAGCAAAGTGCTTGAACATTTTAATTTAAGCTAAGGCTTCGTTTGGGATGGCTTTCTTACTGCTTTTTAAAGTAGTTTTTTAGTTCAAAAATCTGTTGAGTTTTTTTTTTTACTAAAAAATTGTTTTAGAAAGCAGTAAGAAAGTTGTCCTAAACTAATAAGACTTTATTTGGGACGGCTTTTTTACTGCTTCTTAAAGCTAATTTTTAGTATAAAAATTAAAACCATTGTACTATAAAATTGTTTTAAGTAGTAAGAAAGCCGTCCTAAATGAACAGTAAGTCGAAGTTTTTGTTTGGGACAATTTTCTTGTTATTTTCTTAAGTAATTTTTTAGTACAATTTTTTTTTTTTAAAATTTTTGTACTAAAAAAGTAATAAAAAACAGCAAAAAAGCCTAAATGGTGCTAGAATTAGAGTTGGAATCCCATAATGCTTAATAATTTTTTTGAAGTGAGAATTTAATGCAAGAGAGACATATCGTACCAAGTTAAATTAGATTATTGTATTTTTAAGGTTACATATTCGAGCCATATATTTTAGATTTATTGCTCATTATTTAAAAAATAATCTTAATTACAATGTATTAATGTGGCTATTCATTATTCATTAATAACGAGCAAGTTGAATCTACATTGGCTATGCTATTATGATATTAATGAATAAAAGTTGATCACAAATGTATGCAAATTAGCTCACTCGGACTTGAAAATAATAATAATAATAATATTTGCACATATGAATCATCATGTGGTTCATAAATATTTTATGGACAATAATGAAATTGTGCATACTTATTTATTCATGTGTAAAATTGGAGGTTACGAGAGATTCTTGAGTAGGGGTGTCAAAAATGGGTTGTATGTCGGGTTTGGGTTGAATCTGATAATGACCCGATGCTGCTCAACATGACACGAATCTTATCTGATTTTTGAAATGGGTTGATTTGTTGAACTCAAACTAGGCCCATATCACTTTCAAGTTGACCATAATTCAGAATTTTTTGGTCAAATTTAGTCAGATTTTTGGGTCGTGTCAAATATTGACACTCATATCCTTATAAAACAAATTGCAAAAATGGTTCTTGGATTTCGTGAAGAAATACCTAGAGAAATTAGAAATAATTTAGGGGTTTTTGGAAAAAGAGTAATGTTAGAAGTATTAACTTCAGCTCTTAATTTATTAATTTCAGGACCTTCTAATTGAAATCTTCTACTATAGTAAATTTATTATTCAAATGTAATATGCGTTTCTTCCTATCAGCTTATCTGATTTTATCTGTTCTGACTATTTTACCCTTCCATAGCATTTTTCTATATTTGCTAGCCCTTCATCATCCAATGATTTTGGTAGTTGCTTAAAGCTTCCTGAAGCATATCTACATAATTGTTCTTTTGACTGAAAAGCTTCATGTATCAAGATTTTGGGTAAAAAATATACCAGATGATTCGTTTGAGTTCTAGAGGATGAATTTTCATGAGGGATCAAAATTGGTTTATGTAAAAATGAACTTCCACAAATATAACAATGACATTTTCTTGTACTTGGTTTTCTAAAATTTCTATCTTTTCTAGGAAATTTTCTTTTGGATTTTCTCAATATTTTTCTTCTTTTCTTTCAGGGTTTAGGGCATCCTCCGCTCTTGTAAGTGGGGGTTGTTGTGTGGTTGAGTTGTATGAAAGTCTAAATATTAGTGTGAAAGTTGTGAGCTATTCTTCTGCAAACTGTAGTCATCTCCACAAATATAACAATGACATTTTCTTGTACTTGGTTTTCTAAAATTTCTATCTTTTCTAGGAAATTTTCTTTTGGCTTTTCTCAATATTTTTCTTCTTCTCTTTTCAGGGAATCCAAGAACCATTTTTGCAATTTTTTTTATGGATATATCAAGATGTACGTTTGAAGTTTAAATTTAACATTAGAATGTTCTTGCATTTTTCCTATTAGAAATACAACTAATCTTTTGTTCAGCTATGGTTTGAATAATATTTGATTTAGAAATTATTGAATTATCATATAATTTTTTAGTTTTTATTAAATTTAATTAAATCTATCTAACTGTCCTTCTATATCTATTATCTCCCTAAACCCTAAACCCTGGAATAAAATATTTCAATACTGAAGATATTAATATAATACAAAAAATAAAAATACAAATAGAAAAAATAAGAATTTATTACTAATATTTATTTTAACTTTGTTTTTGCAGGTAATTTTGGTCTTTTTGTGCCTCTTGATTTTCTTTTTCTAATTGTTATTCTAATTTTTCAAAGCGTTTTTCATTTATTTTACTTTTTTCAAGTATTCCTTTATATTCTATATTATGTATTTTTGCGGCGCATAAATGACATATTTCTATCATATTGATGGTTTTATTAATTTTAACTTTTTTAATTCATTAATTTGAATAACTCTAGAGATTTTTTTAATTCTCTAATTTTCATTTCTTGGTTTGCTATTATCAAGAAATTCTAAGATTTTTAAGGCTATATGAAAATTTTGATTGGAAGAAAATTGAATGATCAAATGAAGAGATAAAAATGAATATGGATTTAGGAGTAGCCCATAATTGTCATCAGTTTCAGTTTTGTTACTTCTTTTTATTTGCCTTGTTAATCTATCAATTTTCTTCTTATTCAAATATTGTTGTATAATATCGTCTTCGGTTTTAACTATTTTATCCTTTGTTTGATTTTCAACATTATATAATCTTAATAATATTCTTTCAAAATTTAATGGATTATGGGCTAATAAGCAAACTCATCATAAGCAGAGACGATAAATTATCAGATCAAATTGAATGCCTTGAACATCCAGAACTCAAATGAATCATCTGGTACATTTTTGAAGATTATAGAATTTATTCTATCACGGTAATTATAAATTCTATTGAACCAGCATATGAAGAATTTATGGATGGAGCAAAACACATCATAGAAATCCATAAAACTCTGGAAAATATTAAAGCTGAAAAGTAGAGTTTAGGGTTTAAGGTTTAAGTCATGGAACCAAAAATTATACAATATCTCGATTTTGAATTACCTCAAAATAGAAAAAATTTAGTCATTTTTGATAAATACAAAATTAGTTGTTACTTCGATTCAAAATATAGGCATAGTTTGCATAGTAATGATAGTTCTACTAATAGTATTATAGATTTATTAATAAGTTTATCTGAATCTTTTCAAATTCATCAAGAAAAGATATATAAAATTATAGAAAAAATTTCAAATAGTATCATGATTAAAAAGAAAACTTTGGAAGAACTTAATGAAAAAATAAATTATATTAAATGACATGATGAAATAATTACAAAAATTAATAATTATCATGATACGATTTTATTTTTAATTCTGCTCCCCAACCATCTTGAGAAGCATCTACTATTACTATTTTATAGTCTGTTTCTAAAGGTAGAGTTAATTTTGATAAGGTTTTAATTTGTGTTTTTATTTTTTGTATTATCTTAATATCTTCAGTATTGAAATATTTTTGTCCAGTTTTATTAGTCTTTTTATATAAAGATTTTATAGTTTTTCCTAAATCTTTTATATATGGACGAGCATAATTTAAAAGACCTAAAAATTTTTGTAATTCTTTAGTGTCTTCTATTTTATTAGGAAATTCTAAGATTTTTAAGGCTATATGATCTTGTAATTCGATTGTACCATTTCCAATTTTTTGACCTAAAAAATCAATATATTCTTTGGCTACTTCAATTTTCTTTTTTGATAATATAATACAATTATTAACATGCAACAATATCTGAATAAAATTGTACTAAATTATTTCTAATTTTTATAGGTAAATCGGTTCTTAAGCGAAGAACCATTTTATCTATGCAGAAGACTGTTTAATTCAACTAAAATTCTTTTTAAATGGACCATTCAAAATTTAATGGATTATGGGCTACTAAGCAAACTCATCATAAGCACAGACGACAAATTATCAGATCAAATTGAATGCCTTGAACATCCAGAACTCAAACGAATCATCTGGTACATTTTTGAAGATTATAGAATTTATTCTATCACGGTAATCATAAATTCTATTGGACAAGCATATGAAGAATTTATGGATGGAGCAAAACACATCATAGAAATTCATAAAACTCCGGAAAATATTAAAGCTGAACAGTATGATGATGCTCCTCACTCATCTGTTAATCCAGAGTTATCTAATCAGTCTTTAAAATATTACAGAGCATTGCAAATAGCACAATACAGACGAGGTTTTCCAAAACCTATATTCTACATGCAGTGAGCTTACCAAGATAAAAATATGATCATTTTTCTGCATAGCAAATTAATCAAGTGACCACTATTCAGATTTCGCTATTATGTCAAAGATATTCAGAGTCCAATGTCCTCACCACTAGAGAAATATCTAAGGGATAAGACATCACTCGTTATACGTGCCTCTTTATCATAATTTACACCTAGGGGATAAAGTTTTCCAACCCTATAATGAATGCATTTATGACTACAAATTATTCTTTTTCTATATGAGATAGGTATAATGCTTAATCTAATCATATGATTTAATTAGAGGCTAATATTTGTTCTAATTCACTAATACGTATTTGCCTAACAAAAACTTTTTGGCTAATGCATGTAGATGCAATTTGGCTAATGTTTAAAAATTTATATATAACTAATGTCCTATTCATATCAATAAAATATTTAATTTGACTATTCATAAATTTTGTATGAACTAATTCACTATTCCTATCAATATAATATATTTTAATTAAACGTACCTCTTTATCATAATTTGCACCTAGGGGATAAAGTTTTCCAACCCTATAATGAATGCATTTATGGCTACAAATTATTTTTTTTCTATATGAAATAGGTATAATGCTTAATCTCATCATATAATTTAATTAGAGGCTAATATTTGTTCTAATTCACTAATACGTAATTGCCTAGCAAAAACTTTTTGGCTAATGCATGTAGATGCAATTTGGCTACTGTTTAAAAATTTATATGAAACTAATATCCTATTCATGCCTATATAATATATTTTTTCATCTAAAGGAATATTTATTACGTCATCCGGTTCGCTTTGTAAGTCTCTTTCTTTATATAATAAAGTCTTTGTTTAATTAGTCATATTTCTTATTATTTCTTCTTTTATGGATAAGACATCACTCATTATAAGTGAGTAGTGTGTTGATTATTTCTCCCTTAAAGAATAAATATTAAGAAATATGACTAATTAAACAAAGACTTGAGATGACTACAGTTTGCAGAAGAAGAGCTCACAACTTTCACACTAATATTTAGACTTTCATACAACTCAACAACATGCAGAACTTAGAGAAATAAATGACGAGGTAAATACAATTTTATTAAAATATTTTAATCAAGAATTCCAGCAAATTCTTCAAGCCATAAAAAGGCATATAGACAACTATCCTGACATAGATCGAGCGCAAGAAATTAGAACAATAGGAAAAAGAATTTTAGCTGAATTAAACAGTATTCTGCATAGATAAAATGGTTCTTCGCTTAAGAACCGATTTACCTATAGAAATTAGAAATAATTTAGTACCATTTTATTCAAATATTGTTGTTGAACTCAACACTAAAAATAGTGAAGTAGAAGATATTTTATTCGAGCATGTTAATAAAGAATTAGATATTATTCTAGCAGCCTTACGAAGGCATCTTAAAAATAATAAATGTATTAATTTACTTCAACAAATTAAAACAATATGTGATAGAGTTTTACTAGAAATGGATAATTTTATGCCAAGATACGCTCAGTAGCCATAAAATGATGACATGTAGAAAATATAGCTTTAGAAAAATTATTTCGATAACCAGCCTGATTCACAGGCAATTAGCTTTAATAAAAATTTATTATCTTAGCCTAAATAGAACATTAGTTTTATGCAAATGTTTCAATAGTAAAAAATATATTATATAGGCATGAATAGGATATTAGTTTCATATAAATTTTTAAACAGTAGCCAAATTGCATCTACATGCATTAGTCAAAAAGTTTTTGCTAGGCAAATACGTATTAGTGAATTAGAACAAATATTAGCCTCTAATTAAATCATATGATGAGATTAAGCATTATACCTATCTCATATAGAAAAAGAATAATTTGTAGCCATAAATGCATTCATTATAGGGTTGGAAAACTTTATCCCCTAGGTGCAAATTATGATAAAGAGGCACGTTTAATTAAAATATATTATATTGATAGGAATAATGAATTAGTTCATACAAAATTTCTGAATAGTCAAATTAAATATTTTATCCAGAGTTATCTAATCAGTCTTTAAAATATTACAGAGCATAAGAGATGCATGATACTTCTTCATTTGAACCTAACTGCGGTATCATTACCGCATATTACATTTGAATAAATATAGAACTAGATTTTAGCTAATCTTCATCAAACAGAGATTTTAGCTAAGAGAAAAATTTTCTTAAAGCATTTTGATTATTTCTCCCTTAAGGGAGAAATTCTTTAAGAAAATTTTTCTTTTAGTCAAAATCTTTGTTTGATGAAGATAAGCTAAGAGTTTAAATTAAAGATTTCAAGGTGCTACATTTTTTAATTATTATTTTATAATTTATTTAAGTGATATATTTAATTATAATTAAATTTATATGTTTCAAATTAGATAAAAGGGTTTGTGTATATAATTTATATTTCAACTATTTATAAAATTAATATTTATTAACTAAAAACAATCTTAAAATTCAATATATAGAATTATACCGTGGTCTCACTTTCATGTCGGAGGGAGTAGGGAGATCTCATCCTATAAAACATGATTGATCGATCGGCCCATTTCAAACCGATCAGCGACGGCCGTAGACCGGCGACCTAAATCATCTACGGCGATGCCTTCTCCTCTTCCTCCTTCTCCGAACGCAAAAAGGCGGGTCAAGGCGAAGAAGCCGGACAGGCAGTCACCGACCTTCCGGATCCTCAGGGAGCCGTCTCCAAGTTTATTCCCGTCGAGGGGAGAGATACTGAAGCTTCTTCTAATCGTATTCATCGCCGCATCCGTCGCGGTTGCCTGCAGTTTCGTCTCTGATATCCTCAGCCGCCGTCCTAAGCCTTTCTGTGACAGTGGTCAGGACCCTCAGGATATCGGTGAGCCCTTTTTTAGTTTTTCATTTTCGGAATTCTCGAACTGGTTTATATGTTAGTTTTGAGACTGAATTGTTGGCTTTATTTTAGGCGGTGACTGCTTTGGTTTGACATACTTGTTTTATGTCAATGAACTGGCAAACTTTCATTCCGTTTGGAAGATTTATTTATTTATTTATTTCGATGAATCTGTCGTTTGATTCTAACAGATCTTGGGTTTTCAAATGATAGCTATTAAGTTGAATAAACTTAACGCGATAAGAAAAGTTATATGGGTATATGATTCTTGGTAGCATTCCACTTTTAAGACAGTAACAGTGAAATGAACAAGCACATCTTACTAGATTATACATACATTATGATAAAATTGTGCTTTTAGTGCCAGTTGATGGAAGGTGACCCTTAATTGAAGTTTAAAGGATTTCTTTTTACCATTTAAAGTGTTGTTTACCAAAGAAGGTCTTCTTTGGTAAGACCCTTCAACACTATGCCAGTAACTGAATTTAAATTTTAGTTAGAAATGAAACCCTCAAACTTAAGGGAAAATTCTATAAGATGGTGGTGAGACATGCATTACTTTATGGTGCAAAATGTTGACCATTAAAAGAGAGGCATAAAAGTAAGTTAAGTATTCCAGAGATGGGGATGCTCAGGTGGATGAGTAGCTTCACTTTTATATACAAAATGCGAAATGAGTATACATGTGAAAAGATTTGAGGAGCTCCAGTGACAGATAAGATTAGAGAGAGTCGTCTTAGATGGTTTGGACTCATAAATCTCAAACCTTTCAACGACCTAGTTAGGAGAGTATATGCAGTAGATTTGGTCTATGTTAAGAAAGGTAGATGTAGACCTAAAAAGACTTGGTTATAAAATATTAGAAACAACCTTTTCTTATTAGATTTAAATGAGAATTTGACTTTCACCATGACACAATGGAGAAAAAATATTCATATAGTTGACCCCATGTAGGTGGGATAAAAGGTTTGATGATGATGATGATGTTGTTGTTAGAAATGAAACCAATCCTATTGATTGCAAGAGAATTGTAGCACCTAGGGGAATCTTACGGTAGATGGATGAGTCATGCTGCCTCTTTGATTAGTGCCGAACTAAAGTGCTCTTTGATTGAGACATTGTTGTCCTTTAAATGGTGTATGGTATACAATCAAGTTGCATCACATTTGAGATCAATCATGGGCCGTTATCCACCTAAATATGGTGGAGTGAGTGATGGAGGCCCTTGGAAATAATATTAGTATTGATGAAGATCTGAATCAGATTGCTAGGTCTATGTTGATGGTGATTTGAAATGGATGTTCAGATTTGCGAGAATCTCGGGTTTGCTTCATCAATTTCAATCAATGGGTTGGCGCAAATTTTTATGCAATCAAGCAATTTAGGAACTAAAGGAGCCATCATTCTTTAGAATCTCATGGTAAGAAATCTTTGAGCTAGAATCATGACATTCTTGATCAAAACATTGGAATTAATTAGGAATAATTTATTAGTGCCATTATCATAAATGTTTATTTATTTTGGCTGAGAAAACTGTTATGAAACTTTAGAAATATGCTTATGAATGCCATTTTTTTATTTAAAAATTTTATTTGACCAAAATGACATGGAAAGCCCCATTAATGAATACTCTTTCTTGGGTTATATATTGCATCTTGATGAAATCAACATATTAAAACAATGTGATGCACAAAGATTCTAGGGTAGGGTTTCCTAATGCAACTAATATGATATGTTATACGCTTTCATATAAAGAAAGTCGAGGATTCACATATCACATGCCGCCAATTAATCTAATAGCTTCTTTAATTAAATATAAACGAGCAATAGTAAAGTTTAAAACTTATTAATAATGAATTACTCAAAATAATTTGAGAATTTTGGTAAGAAATTGGGATAATAAAAAAATTGACGAGCACAATTAATTCCATAATTTGGATTTTCAATGTGCTACTTCTGATCAAAATCAAGTGCACTAAGCAAGTTGATGTCAAATAATGTAAATGAAATAAAACTAGTAATGAAAATAATGAAGTAAGAAAAGGAAGGATGCGTGTAAGTGCAAATTGATGACTTTACCCATAATTAGGTAGTCACTCTTCTATCACATTCAAAGGAATCACGCATTAACTTGCACTCAGAAGAATGAAAATTCGAAAGAGAAGATTTCTTCAAGCTAGATTTGAAAATTTTCTTCCTTAGAGCCACTAACCTGTCACGAATATTTAATTTTATTTACTATCCTATCAGCCACCAATTTAAGCTTCACCCACAGCCATCCATGGATGACCCTGCCCTGAAAGCTAATGAAAAAAGGTGCGCACAAAAACCAATCAATCCAATTTCTTGAGCCACAAGTCACCCAAACGCATGCATGTAAAAAATTCCCTAACAGAAGGTGCGTAGGACCTGGATGCCACCTGTAGCCCAAAAGCTTCAAAGCACCATACGGTAATCATGAATATGACAACCCTTTGCACACCAATCTCGTGACCTAGGGAGCTGCAAGATGCAAAATTTCTGCGAATTTATAAAAAATACAGGAATCAACAGCCACTAGCCTTTACAACACCAAATTCAAATCTGAGGATAAGTGCAAGCTTTCACCGTTCAACATTACAAAAACCAGTAGCTGTTATTATCATATGTGAACCAATAACTATTATTACCATATGAGACAAATAAATCATCCACCGCCCCAACCAGCCAAATGATGTGGAAGTTCCACTGCCAAAAGGAGATGCAAATGTTGTACCACATGAGATCGCATGACTATGTCAGCCTGTTTGTAAATTTCTTACCACTATTTTTTATGCTTTTCTGAATTGAAAAAAATGATTAATAAAGAAATCTGTTATATCTTCTTTTTAACGTGCTGCTGTGACAGATATGTGTGAACCTTGTCCTGAAAAGGGTCGGTGTTCTAATGGCAAGCTGGAGTGTTTGCATGGTTACAAGAAGCAGGGGAGGATATGCATAGAAAATGGGCAACTTCACCAAACAGCTAAACAACTTGTGAGTCCTCGTTATGATATCTCAGTTCCTTCAAAAAGAAGGATGATCCATATCTCAGATTGATATGGTTCTAAAAGGAACAAGTAAATTTAAATGCTCCAAAGTTTCATGCAGCTTTGTAAAAGGGCACAAAAACTTTTATGTTACAAACAAAGCACACCAGGCGGGCATAACTAAAGCTTGCTCTGAAGTTATGAACCACACGCCTTCCTTCTAAAGCATCAAGTGCTCCTACAACACAATCCAATTAGACAAGCTTTTTAATTTTTAATAGATTTGATACTTATTTAAGATTTGCTTGTATTTACTATTTGTAATGTCTCTCGTTATAACCATGCTTTGATCTTATTATATTTTCTGTATTCATCTCCTGTCATTATTGCTTTTCTTCATTATTATATGCTTTTAATGCCGAGTTTTAAAAGTAAATTTAAAATACATTCAGAATAGGTTTCTCCATCTCTTCTTTTTGTTTAATTGTACCATGTATAATTTTCATATTTTTTCCTAGAATTTTTTTTTGTGGACTGATTTCATTATTTTGCACTTGTGTTTCTTCCATGAGTTATCTTAGTTTTTCTGTCTCAGTAATATGATTACTCTATCTAATTTGACTTACATGTTAAAATACACATTTAATGTCTAGAATTGTTTTTGTTAAACTTGTATTAAATTTTTTTGGAATGTAACTATAAGTGGGATGTCCAAACAGTTTGGCAAGGTTGCTTCTGATGCTGATAAATGAAGTATGAGTGGAATGCACTTTAGTTTATTAAAACACTTCTTTGATTTTGCAATTTTAAGCCAAAGAAAAAAAGATAGAAAGAAACCTGTTCTTTGCAGTGTGTTTGGTTCGGAAATCCTAAGAAAAAATATGCATGCCATTAGCGTGTTTTTAATTTCTTACTACTCTCTAAACATGCAGGCAAAGGTGGTAGAAGATGATGTTTGTGGTTCATATGCTCAAGTTTTATGCAACCGAGCTGGGAAAATTTGGGTCTGTTATCTTGATAAACCTCATGGTTTTGATGCTACTTATTTACAGAACTTCTGGTATTGATATTGTCTCTTTTTTATTGCCGTGTATACACTTTAAGATTGTGCTATTGAAAAGACCTACATAACTCTAGTTGTTATTCTGACAACTGATGCTTCAGTTTGAAGAAGGTGATGTTGAGAAAATACTGGATGATTACAAAGCAAGAGAAGATATTAGATTAGAAGATGATAATTATAAGCTTGCAATACATAAGGCTTTGGAAACTGTGCAAGGATCCCTAGAAAAGAAGACAGATTCAAATGGGTAACTACTTGTTCTTCTTCCATCTCAATTAATTACAAACCAATATTCTTGATGGAGAATGTAGCTAGCTTCAACTACCTCCTTTGTACTTGGTCTGTAGGAGCAAGGAATACAAGTGCCCCCAACCGCTAGCTGAACTTCACAGACCTCTTGATTGTTGCATTCGTCAGTGGCTTTACAGACATATTTTACTTGTTACTGGTGTTTTAACAATTGTAAGATATGGAACTGATCTCTGTAGTATATTTGTACGGTTTTAGTTTCATGAATTATAGACTTGTTTGCCTAATAGCTATGCATTTGTTTTTGTTTCTGCAGGTCATATGTTTGACAAGGTTTTTTTGGATTTTGCATCGGAAAAAGATTGCGTCTACCAGAGCTGAAAAACTTTATGAGGAGGTACACTTGGTTGTTCTCTTCATATGTGATTTTTCTATTACCCATTTTTGTACTATTTGCGGAGCTGCTTCAATTGCTTCTCACATTGATGTTTAAGTTGGCAATATTTTTCCCTGTACTTGCTGAGAAAGGCGGGATGTTTTCATGCTGGCTTAAAAGAACGGAAAAACTAAACAAGGAAGAAATGAAAGGAGTAATTGAGTAAAAATGTTTTTCATTTTTTTTCCTACAAGCAGGATCTGCTTACCATCAGCTGGCTCACTTCGTAGTTTTTTTTTTTCCTGGTGAATATATTGGTTGTTGTTTTAACTAGAGTTAAACTTCGCAGTGTTTGTTTGTTTGCTTAAAAAGTAAGTTTTAGTGGACTTATTTGTGTTCAGATATGGGTTAGATATTGATGCCAAGGTTCATGATTGTATGGTAGAGGTCGGTGATGGAAGCAACTGGATTAGTATCATACTATACTCGTAAAACAGTCCATTATATGTTTATAGATAATATTTTACTAACAATTTGTGTGGTTGCTCTCATGGCCATTTCTTTGTCTTTTATTTGCATGAAGATACTGATGCCAAGTTTCTGCATGCCACAACTAGCAATGCCTAACATCCACTACTGTTATTAATTCTATTCTTAAATTCTTGATTCATGAACTTTGGGAGCGTCACTCTGAGGCCAAGTTTTTTGTTTTTTGTTTTTTTTTTCTTGGCATGAACTCTTGGGCCAAGTTATTTTTATTGTTTTTTTTTTTGGGGAAATTCTGGACCTCATACTTGGTTGTGTAAAGCATAGGAAATTCGTTGTCGCTCCCTTGTTTTGGCACTGATTTAAGAACTCATTGTGTATCACCAAAATTATTTAGAGGGAAGCAATCTCGCATCAGAGAGATCATGACAAGTAAGACTTTCTTTTTTCCTTTGTCCTCTATGGATTTGTTAGTGTGTTCAGACTTCAGACAAAAGTTTTGGTCGCAAAGACACTTTTTGGGTTGTATGCTACATCCTATAATTGATCCCTAATAGTTGGGATATGCATCCCAGTTGAACATCTCTTTCCTTTAAACCCATGCTCAGAACTCCTAAAATAACTCTTTTGTGACAAACATGATGAAAGATATTGGCTTTGTTGCGCATATCCATTGTTGTAGACTTGTAGCCAGTTGCTCCCTTTCTTCACACGCCTCAGCGTTTATGTGCTAGAATATATTTTGTTCTGAACTGGAGGGCATTTTCAGGTTTGTGAAATCCTTGAGGAAAACGCCGTGAGAGCAAGAACACAAAATGAAGGAAAGCCTTGGGTTGTTGCCTCTTGGTTAAGAGACCATCTACTTCTACCTAGGGAAAGAAAGGACTACACATTATGGAAGAAGGTATTCTCACTTATGAATAGTTCCATGGTAAAACATACTTTTTAGAATATTGTCTTTTGTTTTTGCTAGAAATTATTGTTTCATTGCTTCGAGCATTCTTGTTGAATCATTAAACAGTTTCTGTGACTATTTTCTTTGTTTCACTTAGACTATTGCCACATCTTTTTTTTTTGTTTAATGGTAGAATTTTAGGGCCGTCACTTTTGGTTAACAATGTTAGATGCTCACCCAGCAGGCGGTTTGTATTTCCACTTATGATGATAGAAATAGGTCTGTAAGCGGATTGCTGCTCATGGAGCGAGAAACAGCAATTCAAGGTGAGGCGAGTGCTGAAACACTAGAAAGTTTTGAACAATGATAGCAATAACATAAAATGTTGCAGGAAAAGAAAAACAAATTCAGGATGGCAGTAATTTGGTTCAAACGATTGTAAAACAGCAGAAAAACATAAATTGTAAAAGAAACATTTTAGAAACTAAAAGAAATGCTAGGATTAGGGCTTTTGGTTAACGATGTAGGTTTAAGTTTTGAAGGTAGTAACCATTTTTTTGTGGTTAGTGATTATGCAGACGATGCTGATGGTACTGTTGCAAACTTCTCGGATTCACCTAAAAAAATACCGTTCTTTAATCACAGAGAAATCAACGTCATTTAGTAACCATGGTTCATGCAGAATTGCAGTACTAATAATGAAAAGTGCATAAAGCCCCAAAGCTGATATGAGGTTTAAAATCTTTCTGTTTTGCAAAAGATTAAGGATCTTGTGATAAATATTTCAAACATTATGAAATCAGCATTTTTAAGCTATTCCATTTGGTTTTGATGTCGTCGGACTACTTAAAGGTACAACTGTTGAACAATTTATAATTATCTCTGAAACTAGCAAGGTGAGGCGATTTTTAATGTTTAATTTTGATTGTGTAGTCTTGCCTCAATTTTTTTGTATTGCAGCACGAATCACCTTTTGTTTGATGCCACGTGTTGACGTGCCAAGAAAAACTTCCTTTTTTAATATCTATGCTAAATTGGATCTGTAATTTGCAGCTGCATGTTGCTGTTTATGTTTTATTTCCTTTTCATTCTACTTGCCAAATGTCCAGAATCACAGACCTGTTAGCCCAAAAGAAAAAAAAAAGTTTGTTTTTTAGCTTTGCTGATCAAATCCACTTGCACTTTCATTCTGTCCCTTTCGTAGGTTGAAGAATTGATCCAAGAGGACTCCCGCATAGATCAATACCCAAAGCTGATCAAGGGAGAATCCAAAATTGTTCTAGAATGGCAAGGTGCCCTTTTCTTTTTTAAAAATCTTAGTGGATTTTAGTTTTGTTTTCCCTAATATTTAGGACATTGCTTAATTTCCTTTCATTTTTTGTTCACTTGGATCAACTAATGCTAACTCGAATTAGGTAAAATCAACACCTAAGATTAATCCTATCTTATTTTTGGCATTTTATCGGGTAATTATCTTTTATGTGTCTTGAGATTTTGCTAAATAGCATATTCCTCGCATAGGTAATATGAAATACCTCTCTTTTGTGATTTTTTTATCTAATCTACTAAAATAGTGATAGGAAATACTTGAGTTTGCAAGCAAACCTATCTCTAATTGGTGAAAACAGCGAGAGTAATGCAAAATTTGGGTGAAAACAGCCCCAAAACGTAGATTGCAAGAAGAGAAACAAAGCCAAAACAAATACGAAGCAAGATACAATTGATCCTCAATTCGAGAGGAGGATATTCTCTCCCAAATCTCTAGATAAGAGAGTCTAGAGTCCAAACACCAAGAAACCCTAATTCCAATCAATCAAAACATGAAAAACTCCCTAATCCCCCTCATTCTCTTGAATACAAAATATTTCCTAATCAATTTTCCCTCCCAAGCCTAAACCGCCCCCTCTGTTTAATTTTCAAAACACAAGGAGGAGTGGGGCCCGCCCGTTTAGGTGGACAAAGCCAAGGAGGCGGAAGGAGTCCGCCTCCTATAAACAAATTGAGCCAGCCCCCTTTGGGCCGGCTGGACCGGTTCACTGTGAATAGGTCTAACAAATAGTTCTTTTGCCCTGGAGATAAAATAATAAAGAGTATTGACGCACACAAGCTCGAGCGCACATACACACTTATATATTATATTATATTATTTATATTTATATTTTTCACAATTTTATTTGGTTGATGTTGCACTTACTACAAGGAAATTTGAGTTTATATGCCAATAAATATGTTTGTTATTTTGTTTCTTGGGGAAATATGCTCAAAAGTTCCGTTTAGACTAAAATGCCCTTGTTTTAGATCGTTGACCCCCCCACCCCCCTCCTTTTTTTAATTTGATGCCACCTCATTTAATTTGAATGACATTTGAATAAGGCTTTAACAAAATTCGATCAAGGTTGATAAAATATGTGATAAAAATTTGATCTACGATCGAATATTCTTTGAACCCTAATCAAAGAGTAGTTGTTATTGGGGAATTTTTTTTTTGATCGGTGCTTTAAGATGGTTCAAAAAAGACTTAAATAAAACATTGTTAGAAAAATTTATAAAAGAGTAAAAGCTCGAAATAAACCCCACATTAATTCTCAAATTAGTCACAGAGTTTCGTATTGCCCCAGTTTGGTCCCTCAACTATTAAAAATTATATTATTTAGTCCCTAGGTTAGATTTGTCATTTAAATTAATGAAAAAATTTGAAGAGCTTCGCTTATTTATGGGCATTTTGGTAAAACTTTTTGTTACATGCTCCCTCGCCTTCCCACTATAAGCAATGGAGATTGAATTATGCGAGGGAGAAGCTACGAACAAGGCTACACAAGTGAGCATGCCATGAGCGAGACGCACTGCGACATGCTTTGAATCGCATTCCTGATTCGTGTGCGATTGCGAGGCAGACAACGTACTGTGAGCGAGACACCGTGCGGGTCTGTTTGGATACATGAAGAAAGATGGCTACCTTCACGACGAGGAAGCTCCCGTTATTACTTCATACCTTACAGAAGAATGAAGAGATGTGACTTTAGATCTGACAGGAAGGAATGTTGTCAAAGGAGCTTTCTTTATTAGATTTAAATGAGAATTTAACTCTTAACATGACACAATGGAGAAAAAAAAGATTCATGTAGCCGACCCCACGTAGACAAAGGTTTGATGTTGTTGTTGTATACAAGTTCCAAAATGTCTATAGAACAAAGTGTAACTTGAGAATGTTAAATGTCCGAACATTCAGTTCACTGCATTTGGCTTCCATATTTAATCATATTCATGTGTGCTATAATGAATCAGTTCTCTGCATTTGGCCTCCATATTTAATCATATTCATATGCACTAAGGTGCTTTCAGCTCCAATTGATCTTTGCGTAGTGTAATTAAACTTTTTCATTGCTTTCATCGTTCTTCAAGCAATTTAGCTACTTCATCACAAATTTGTGCCGTTGTTCGGAAACCTGTGCTAATTCATAAACTTGAAATCACTTAGTGAAAAATTAGTAAATTTCAATTATATATATTTTATCATCAAAATCAAATTCATATAGCTTGGAATCATAGGGTGAATAATTGTGTTATGTAATGAATTTGTAAAAAGATTAGGTGGAATTTAGCGACAAAAAAAAAGAGGAAATCTTCAAGTTCATGTAGCTCTGCTTCTCTCGATTGAATTGGCATTATTCAAAAGGGCGAAATCCTGTTTGACAGCTTTTTTTGTAGTTTTCCACCAGTCTCTAGATTTTGGAATTGCTCCTTGGTACCAAGGCCACAAATCTATTATTGAAAGGTGTTAGGAAATACTTGAGTTCGCAAGTAACCCTAAGGGAAATACTTGAGTTCTCTAGCAAACCTATCTCTAATTGAGGAAAACAGCTAGAATAATGCAAAATCTGGGTGGAATCAGCCCCAAAACGATAGATTGCAATAAGAGAAACAAAGTCAAACAAACAGAAGCACAAGATAACAAATGATCCTCAATTCGAGAGGAGGATCTTCTCTCCCAAATCTCTAGACAAGAGTCCAAAGCCCAAACGCTATGAAACCCTAATTTCAATCAATCCAAATATGAAAAACTCCTAATCCCTCTCATCCCCTTTAATACAGAAGATTTTCTAATATATTTTTCCTCCCAAGCCCTAGCTGCCCCCTTTGTTTAAATTTCAAAAACAACGGACAAGTGGGCCCCCCCCTATGGGCGGGCCAAGCCAAGGGAGGTGGGTGAATTCCACCTCATGTAGATCTGCTGAACCGGTCGTTGAGTCGACTAGGCCGGTTCAGCCTGAACTGATACATCAATACCGCCCTCCCAAAGAATCACCTTGTCCTCAAGGTGAAAACCAGGAAATTGTTGTTTCACCCTTTCGTATGGCTCCCACGTGGCCTCATTGTCAGGAATGTTCTTCAACTGGATTAACACTTCCTTAGTTTCCTCTTCTTTCTGGCGAACTCCAATCAACTCTAAGGGTTCCAAAACCATATCTAAATCTTCAGTAAGTGTCTCTGGTAGCTCGGGGTTGGCTGATAGTCACCAATGACCTTTCTCAACTGCGATACATGAAAAATTTGATGTATAGTCGCCATTGGTGGTAGTTTCAGTCGATATGCTACTGTTATGATCTTCTCCAGCACTTCGTAAGGCCCAAAGTACCTTGGAGCTAGATTCTTATTCCTCCTGTTGGCGACTGTATTCTGTTTATACGGTCAGAACTTCAAAAACACTCTCTCCCCCACTTCAAACTGGATGTCCCTCCTATGCCCGTCCGCTTGTCTCTTTATAATCTGTTGAGCCCTCTGCAGACGTCTCTTCAGTTCTTCTAGCACTCTATCTCTCTCCTCTAAGTATTGCTCCACTGAAGAAACGGGAGTACTGCTACTCCCAAAGTGTACCAATTGGGAATGATCCCTTACGTACAACACCTTGAACGGAGTCATCTGAAAAACAGAATGAAAAGAGGTGTTATACCAGTCTCAGCCCATGATAGTCACTTAGCCCATAGTTTGGGTGTCTCCGACACGAAACATCTCAAGTATGTCTCCAAGCTCCTGTTCACTACTTCCGTCTGACTATTCTTCTGTGGGTGGTAAGCTATACTCCTTTTCAGCACTGTCTCCTGCAATTTGAACAACTCTATCCAAAAAAAAGGAACACCTTGTCTCTATCTGATACTATCGCCTCAGGGACCCCATGTAATCTGGCTACCATCTCCTCTATATCTTTATGCATCCCCTTCCAGTACAGCTCTGAAGCTAGCCTCCTGTATGTCTTTTGTATACCAGAATAGCCACCAACCGCGCTTCTATAAAACTCTTGAAGTAAGTTTGGGATGTGGATCGTGATTCGAGGCATCACAAATCTCCCATGATACAGCAATTTGTATCCCTCCAATTAGTAGTTTGTATCCCTCCAATGAGTAACCTGGGTGGCTACCCTCTTCTTTCTATAAATCTGACCTGATCCTTCCCAATTCTTCATCTCTAGCACTTTCTTCTCTGATCTATGATGGCCTCCCAATCAAGCATCAAAGGAATTGATAGTGCCACTGTCTGCAGCTCCCCCATACATCTGGACAAGACATCTGTTGCCTTGTTCTCCACCCCTGGTCTATAATGAATCTCAAAATCGTACCCCAGTAACTTGGACAACCACCTTTGATGCTCCTCTATCACCATCCGCTGTTCTAGCAGGTATTTCAAGCTTCGCTGATCTGTCCTGACAATAAAATGTCTCCCAAGTAGGTAGGGCCGCCACTTCTGGATGGCCAAAACGATGGCCATTAATTCTATCTCATAAACTGACTTTAGTCTGGCTCTCACAGTCAATACCTGGCTGAAATAGGCAATTGGCCTACGACTCTGCATAAGAATTGCCCCTAGCCCGTACCCGAACGCATCTGTCTCCATAATGAAAGTTTGAGTGAAATCTAGCAAAGCTAGGACCGACACCGTAGGCATCGCCTTCTTCAGGCTCTCAAATGCTGATGTGGCCGCCTCCCCCTATAGGAAGCCGTCCTTCAACTACTCAGTGAGTGACCATGCTATGGTATTGTACCTTTTTACAAACCTTATGTAGTACCATGTTAGTCCTAGAAATTCCCTCAACTCCTTTAGATTTCTCGGCACTGGCCACTTTAGCATTGCCTCAATTTTGAATTAATTTGCTGCCACACCTTTTGATACAACATGGCCCAAGTACTCTACACTGACTCGGGCGAAGCAGCATTTGTTTAAGTTGGCACTCAGTTGATACTCCTATAGTACCTCTAACACCCTTTTCAAATGCTCATAGTGCTCCTCTGTTTTGTTG